AAAAAAGAAAGAAAGAAAAAAAAGAACAATAATGGAAGTAGTGATACCATGAGGGTAGGGGGAAGGTGGGAGGGAACTGACATGTAACTCCCCCGCCCCCCCAACCAGGATGACAAACAACATAAACATGGGTGAAGGGAGACAGTGGACAGTGTAAGGTATGAAAATAATAATAATTTATAATTTATCAAGGGTTCATGAGGGTGATGGGGAGGGGAAAAATGATGAGCTGATCCCAAGGGCTCAAGTAGAAAGAAAATGTTTTGAAAAGAATGATGGCAAAATATGTGTGATTCTGCTTGACACAATGGATATATAGATTATAATAGCTGTAAAATCTCCCAATAAAATGCTTTATTAAAATTTAAAAATAATTAAAATAAATCAAAATACCTTATTTTGCTAGACAGTGTGAAATTTATGGTGCTTTATACAGACTTTGGATTTAGATTGCCTTGTGAAGAATATATGTAAGCAAATGAAGAATAAAATAAGATTACTGAAATATTAAAAAGTACTATGGAGTACCAAAAGAACAAACTGTCTTGTCTGAAAGTAGTACTGGCAGAGTTCTCCTTAGTGATAAGGATGGCAAGACTTCAACTTACAGACTTTGGACACATTGTGATGGAGAGAGCAGTCGTTGGAGAGGACCTCATGCTTGGTAAAGTGGAGAAGCATCGAGAAAGAGAAGGACCTCAAGGAGACAGAGTGACACATGGCTGCAACAATGGGCTCAGGCATCAGAACAATTTCGAGGATGGTGCAGGGCTGTGCAGTGTTATGTTATGTTGCAGATGTGTTTAGAATAAAATACAACAGCTTCTCATTTGATTACCCTTTCAACCTAGTTTAACTTTGTCCCAAGTTTTCGTATGTTTTGCTTTCTTTTCTATTTTGATTTTTGTTTCATTTTGTCATTATTGTTAAGGGTTTTTTTATGTTGTTTGTGGGCTTTTTGTGTGTCTTTCTGTATATGAAATTCAGGTTTGGTAAATCTGTAGAAACAATAACTGGATGAATAATTACCTAGGGGCAGGGGAGGTTGGGAGGAATGGGAAGCTGACAGCAATGAATAAAGAATGAAGACTATGTTTTAAAAATTGATTGTGATTACAGAGCTCTTAATATCATTGAACTATTGAATTGTATGATGTGAATTATTCCCCCCAAAATTATCTCATTCAACAACTCTTGTTGTTGTTAGTGCCATCAGATTGGTTCCAACTCATAACAACAACAGAATGAGTTACTACACAAGTTGTTATGTCATCCTCTCAATTTTTTTTTGTTTGAACCCATTGTTGCAGCCACTGCATTAATCCATCACATTTATGATCAGGAATAAGATACACAATATACTTCAGTATATACAGCATATTTGGTACAGGTAGAAATGTATATGGCACTTTTTACCGCCATATTTTAGCAATACATCTCTCTGTTTCTTTTATTTGGCATTATTTGTGCTCATTGAAATTACGTTCAAAACCTACTTACTGTATATACTCATGTATAAATCGAGTTTTTCAGCACATTTTTAATGCAGTTTTTGTGGTAAAATTTGGTGCCTCGGCTGATATTTGGGTTGGGTTATACTTGAGTATATGCAGTAATTTTTCAGGCTCTGTAGTCTTAATGATATGTCCTAGGTAAATTTTAGAGCCTAGTAATTTACAGTGACACCTTATTGTGCCTGTTATCCATATGTTGAACTATCACACATCTTGTTCCCAGTGAATGTGTGTATTTTAGCACTGCATCGAGTGGTTCAGAATTTTAATTAGGCCCTTGGTTTCATTAAACTGGTAGCACTTTATTCCATTTCACAATAATGTACTCTTTAAAATTGTCCAACAGAAAAACTTTCCCTAACATTCTGTTCTCTTCAGTCTGTAGGGGGAAAAATGTTTTTACAATGTTATTACAGCATTAGAAGCACTTGTTGCTTCTTCCCCACAAAGAGCACAGGAGTCAAACAAGAATTCAGAGGATAAATCTGACCTGTACAGTCAAAACGTTGTCAGTAGATTCCCCCCTCTGACACAGGCTGGACATGATCTGGTTTCCAAAATTTTCTGTATTTTGGGTTTGTATTGTTTTGTTCGTTTTTTGTTTGTTCTTATTACATTGTAGCTCAGAAATCTTATGTCAGTGGAGGTCACCCTCTTGAAGCTGTGTTATATGCTTTTTCATTTTTCAGTACATGAAACCCAGGATGGATAAACCTATTGAGGGACAGCAAATATAATAAGGATTTTGGGGGGAGGGGGTACAGTGGTGGGGTGCGTAAACGGGAGACAATGTTAAGGTGTTGATGTAGAAAAGAATATTTGGAAACTGATTGTGGTAGCAATTGTACAATTCTACTTGACATTATTAAAATATGGAATGATATGATATATGTATTAAATCCCTGAAGACATATGTGTGTATAAGAAAATGTGGTGAAGAAAGCCAATGGTGCCCGGCTATCAAAAGATATAGCATCTGGGGTCTTAAAGGCTTGTAGGCAAACAAGCGGCCATCTAGCTCGGAAACAACAAAGTCCACAGAGAAGAAGCACACGAGCCTGTGCGAACACTAGGTGTTGAAGGGAACAGGCAGCAGACACCAAAGAACAAAAATCATCATTGTGTGACCACCTACCCCACATAAACGCTGAAGACGAATGTGTGCATAAGTAAGTGTGGTGAAGAACGCTGATGGTGCCCAGCTATTGAGACCTATAGCGTCTGGGGACTTAAAGGCTTGAAAGTAAACAAGCGGCCATCTAGCCCAGAAGCAACAAAGCCCACATGGAAGCAGCACACCAACATATGTGATCATGAAGGGCCAAAGGGACCAGGCTTCAAACACCAAAGGCGGGGAGAACAATCATATCCTTGTCAATGAGGGTGGCGCATGATGGGGACCCAATGCCCATCTCTAGACAACTGGACATACCTTGCAGAGGGGTAGTGGGGAGATGAGTCACTTAGGGTTCAGTATAGCAATAATGAAACCCACAACCTTCCTCTAGTTCTTAAACGCTTCCTCCCCACAACTACCAGGACCCCAATTCTGCCTTGCAGACCTGGCTAGACCAGATGATGCACAGCGGTACAGATGGGAATTGGAAACGCAGGGAATCTAGGACAGATGAACCACTCAGGACCAGGGGTGACAGTGGCGATACCAGGAGGGAAGGGGGGTGTAGAAAGGGGGAATTGATCACAGGGAGCTACATATAACCTCCTCTCTGGGGGATGGGCAACAGAGGGGTAGGTGAAGGGAGACGCTGGGCAGTGTAATATAAGATATAATAATAATTTATAAATTATCAAGGGTGCATGGGGGAGGGGGGCAGAGGAAGGGAGGGGAAGGGGGGGGAAAGGAAAATGAGCTGATTCCGGGAACCCAAGAGGCAAACAAATTTTGGGAATGATGAGGGCAACAAATGTATAGATGTGCTTTACACAATTGATCTATGTATTGTGATGCATTTTATGAGCCCCAATAAATTGATTTTAAAAAAGAAAAAGAATTTAGAGGAATGTTCTCTGTTTTCTTTTTAAACATAACATATTTATATCTTTTTTTACTCAACAAAATGCATATAATTTTACTAGCAGCCTAATAGCCTGTTAGTTTTTTTCCAAATTTACCTATATCCTCTTATTGATAGACGTTTATCATGCTTTCCGTTTTCTACTTGTATAAATAATGCTCCAGTGAACATGTTGTGCATAAGCCGTTTTCTGTGTTTTAATTTTTTATGATGTATTTTTAGGATTGAAGTTTTTTAATTAAAGGGAATACGCATCTTAAAGATATCAATATATATTGCTAGAAGGCTTTTTAAAGCTATCATTTCAATTTACCCTTCTTGCAACAGTTAATGTATTCATTCATTCCACCTTCCCAACATTGACTTCTTTTTTAATATATTTAGTGAATGGGAATACTATTGTTACTGTTTTTGCCTTTCATTTCACGTATATTAATTATTTCCTATCTTAAAAACATTAAAATTTAACTATTAATAATAATTTTAAGATTTAAACATCTTCTTTATAATTAAACATAGTTTCCTCAGTTCAGAAATCAGTCACTTATCAATGAGGGAAATGTCCAAACAGGCAGTATCAAGAGACTTGAATCTCACTGCTGGAGTTTGACGGACTTTTGTACTGTTTCCTCCGAAATGAGACGTTTGTCGAAGTGGTTTATATCCTACTAGAATGCTTTATTTTGTAGCCAACTTAAATATCTCTTTGAAAATCAAGTCTTTATCATAAAACTTATAAATCTAATCTTTTTATTTTAGACTCTTGCTCTGCTGAACCAGTTTAAGTCTAAACTCACTCAAGCAATTGCTGAAACTCCTGAAAATGAGATTTCTGAAACAGAGGTAGAAGATGATGAAGGATGGTAAGGGCTTTGATTTCTTTAATTAACCAAGGCAAATAGACTCAACGCATCCATCACATCTCCCTTGTCTGGACATTCCCTCTACTCTTAGCCTCAGAACTGTATGTTCTTTTGACTCGCCGTTTTACTTCATTTCACTCAATGAGCATTTGTTGAATGGTAGTACTGTGCAAGAGACAAACGATACTTCCTCTGTCCAGGTAACCTCTCAATGTTGTAGCAAAGACTCTGTCACATTAAACAGTTAGAAAACAATTTTGAGAGACTATAAATCTTTCTCTTTTTTTTTTTTAGTATTTTGACACTAAAATTTTAGACCTCAGCAATCCATTTCATAATCCTACTAATTTCCTCTTCAAAGTTTCTGATCTACAGGTTCCTACATGCTCATATTTACTAATTTTTCACTTTTGTCTTTGGACAGTTTTCAGCTACTTAAGACACTGATAAGGGAGCAGGGGTGGGGGTAGCAGGAAAGGTGGCACCTACTTATCCTGTGCTTAGAACTTTATCCTATACTGACAACAAAAAGAATAAGAATTGTGACTTCCCTTATCACACTCCTCTGTCCTCAACTTGACTTCACATGCAGTATGTTTGGCCTCCTCACACCTAACTGCCCCCGCCTCCCACTCTACCCTGGCTCCAGCACATTGTTGTTAGTAAGCCAGTGTATCACCCCACACACATTACTCACACTCTGGATCCTCTACGCCATCACATGTGCCATTATCCCCACCCAGAATCATAGCCTCACTCCTCTCTGCCACGCAGCATCTCTCCCTTATTTCAGAGCTCTGTTCAACATCCCCTTCTCCAGGAGACCAGTCAGCAAGGTGTGTTGAACACTCACAACTCTAGAGGGCGGAGGGTAAAGGCTGGAGCACACATTTTAAAAGACATAGAAACACATTTAGAAAACATTTCCACAAGTAAGACGCCGTAATTGTTCATAGCATTCATCAAAAAGGGTGAGGGGAGGATGCTTTGGGAGGAATGAATTCTACCTAACCTGGGACCCTGGAAGCACTTTGTATATTTCCCAATTAATGTATAGTTTCTGTATGATCTAGATTGCACATGCCAGTTTTTCTTAAAATCCTACATATCTTTTTATTGGTTTCTGTTGCCCATAGATATTTATTAATACTTAAATTCCTTGGTTCTTCAAGGTAGACCTAGTTTCTTCCATAGTTTTGTGCCAAAGATGAAGGCCCAGTAGGTGCTGATTGGCCCCTGGAGATAAGTGCAGATAAATGCACATTGCATAGGAGAACTTTCTGGTTTTCAAATGACTGGACAGGTTTGGTTTTATTTTGGATTCCTTGAATGCCCTAAAATATCTTTCAAATGTTTTGGGTTCAGCCACTACAAAAAAATTGTTTTGCTAAGTCCTCTTCTCCTTATTTTTGAATCAATATGCATTTTTAAGGAAATATGATCCATGTGTTTCTGATTCATTTACACTTAACTCATCAAGATGGTGTTTTGTAAGAGCAGTTTGATGCCCAATAATTTTTTAACCTTTTTTATAAGCTATTTAAGTCCTTTTTTATTGAACAGGAAAGTCACCAACAAATTCAAACCCCAGAAGTTTCATTTAAAATTCATAAACCACAGGATTCAAGTTTACTTTCAACTTGGCAAGACCATTTAACCTTGTCAAGGTTCTTACTAGCCCCCATGGTCAGTAATCTCTCATTCTGGATTCTTCATTAGCTTCAGATATCAATTATGTGTTCTTGAAAGTGTCATTCTTGTTTTTGATGTGATTTCACAATGCAATCAATTTTTTTGTGTAACATCTTTATCAGAGTTGGGGGGAAAATTTGGAAAACTTCAGCCTGGGAGATAAAAATAACTGATCAGTGATGTTGGTCAGTTCTTCATCCAAGGAACAAACAAAAGTGGGAAAGGAGGGGAAATAATTTAAGGAACTATTAGCAAGTCTTTAGTGGACTCATTTTTGCTTTCATTTGCAATTTCCTAAACAGAAGGTCAGACACCATGCATATCCAGAATTTTTTTGGTATTGTTTTATCTAACAGCTAATAAAAATACATTTAATGTTCAAGACACTATGCAGAATCACATAAACTGCATGCAATCATTATGTACAAGTATCTTTCTCTCCCGGTGCCATCAGGTCACTGCTGACTCATAGTGACCCTGTAGATTTCTGAAACTGTAACTGTTCACGGGAGTAGAAAGCCCAGTCTTTCTCCTGCGGAGCTGCTAGTGGTTTAGAACTGCTGACCATGCAGATCACACACAGGTCAGCGCAGAACTACTACACCACCAGGCTCCCTATACAAGTATATACAAGTACTCCTAAATACAAGTGTGCTGCCTTTTTATTGCCATTATACATCATTGAATTTTTGTAACCTAGTAAGCAACAGCATCATTTCTCATAAATAAACCAATTCAGCTTTATCAAGTCCCTGTTGATTTAGATCCTCTGTCATAAAGAAAAAGGAGTCTTGTATTCAAAATGATTTATAGCAAGTATTATGAGTGCATGGCATGTGCATGTGTGTTATGCATAAATTACATGGTTCCCAGACTATTTTGTAGGTCATGGTTGCCGCTTTTCTAAAAAGTGAAAGTCAGCCAGTGTGCTGTACTACACTGTCAAGGTCTGTTATCTGAGGTAAAATGATTGCTTCTAAGACATTTTTATGTGTCCACATGAGTGGCCACACATTGAGGGATCATTTTCATTTTCTGTCAAGATAGAAACCATTACCAATTTGTTATGTTTTCTTTTACTTGGCAAACTGTTTTGTTCGCATTTTTGGCTGAGCTGCTGTATTGGCATGGTATACAAGACATTTGGGTACCATTCAGCAGCATTCTACTTTTCATGCAAAAAAAAAAAAAAAAGCAGGAGGAAAAGAGAGAAAAGAAATATGATTCTATTGTAAACAGTGTGTATAGTGTTTGATAATCATTCCCAGATTTCACTGTCTAACAAGGCATTTAAAGAAGTGTTGTTAGTATATCTAAGCTGAAATGCATGGTAGAAATTTTTCAATCAAAATTACTAAGATTCTTTTTTTGATAGGACATAGATGTCCACTATTTGGTGGCAGTGATGGGCACCAGATTCCAGGTTAGCAGCTAAAATAGCCTCTTTGCCACGACATTCCTTACTCCCCCAGCATTATTGAATCATGTAAATATATGAATCTTCTTCAAGCATAGAGTTTATAAAACCGATTAGACACATGGCAGGCGGCATCAGCCAAAGGATTCTTAGGACCATGTGGATGAACTCCACATGCTAGTTTGGGTTTGGTTAGATAAAGCATGGTTAGCTCCCAGAAATGTTTTGAGAGCCATGTCCAATGGAAATACATGTAAAAAAGAAAGTCACCTTCTTATACAATAAAATAGGCATTTCCAGAAAGGAAACCAAATTAAACGTATGGGCATAGACTACAATCTTGTGAACATTAGCCATTCATTACTATGTTCCATTGAAAACTTATTTCCAAATTGCTAAATATATGATTAACATCACAACACATACACATGATAAAATAAACATTCCCATTCCTTCTCTTCCTCTCTCTCCCCTCAACCAGTTTTCTTCATTAAAAAAGCCCACTGGCATTAACTTGATAGTAACCCTATAGACCCAAGTAGAACTGTTCCATAAAGTTTCTACAACTATAGATCATTACAAAAGCAGACTTTGTCATTGTTCTCCTGTGGAGCAGCTGACCTCCTACTGACTTTTCGGTTAACCATGTAATACTTAACCCCAGCTTGTCACCAGGGCTCCTTGTGTTACATGTACTATATGTAATACTCAATGTAATGCTCACCAATAACTGAATGGTTGTACAAAGTAAATATTTTAGTGATTATTTTCATAATACAAATCAAAGATATTTGCTGTAGAAAGATCATATATCAATCCCTTAAAAGAAGTAAATAAAAAATTATTGGGGATCCCAAACTCAAATATGATAGTTAATTTATACATGGTTATTTCCTTCCCAATACTTATATGCACATATGTTTTTAATGGGATTATTATAATATAATACTAAATTTCTATAATATTTTCCTCCTCAGGCATGTAGCCATAATTTCATTTTGCCTTTTTAAAAATCATTTTATTGGAGGGCTCATACAGCTCTGATCACAATCCATACCTACATCCATTGTGTCAAGCACATTTGTTGCCATCATCATTCTCAAAATATTTGCTTTTTATTTGAGCCCTGAGTATCGGTTCCTCATTTTGGCCCTCCCTCCCTGCCACCCTCTTCCTCATGAACCCTTGATAATTTATAAATTATTATTATTTTGTCATATCTTACACTGTCCAACGTCTCCCTTTACCCACTTTTCTGTTGTCCATCCCCCAGGGAGGAAGTTATATGTAGATCCTTGTCATCGGTTCCCCGTTTCACTCCACCTTCCCTCCACGCTCCTGGTATTGCCACTCTCACCACTGGTCCTGAAGGGTTCATCTCTCCTGGATTCCTTTTTTCCAGTTCCTATCTGTACCAGTGTACATCTTCTGGTCTAGCCGGATTTTTAAAGTAGAATAGGGATCATGACAATGGGGGGAGGAAGCATTTACGAACTAGGGGAAAGTTTTATTGTTTCATCATTGCTACCCTGAACCTTGACTGGCTCATCTCCTCCCCACGACCCTTTGGTAAGGGGATTTCCAGTTGCCCACAGATGGGCTTTGGGTCCCCAGTCTGCACTCCCCCTCATTTACAATTATAGGACTTTTTATTCTTTGATGCCAGATACCTGATCCCTTTGACACCTTGTGATCACACAGGCTGGTGTGCTTCTTCCATGTGGGCTTTGTTGCTTCTGAGCTAGATGGCCACTTGTTTGCCTTCAAGCCTTTAAAACCCCAGACACTATGTCTTTTGATAGCCAGGCACCATCAGCTTTCTTCCACATTTGTCTTCAGCGATCGTGTCGGGTAAGCGAGCATCATGGAATGCCCATTTTATACAACAAAG